GAATGGCAGTATCCTCTGCATACGACCTTCGTTGACTTTGAAAAAGCCTTCAACAGTGTCTACAGGGAAACCATCTGGAAGCTGATGCTGCACTACGGAATTTCTCCAAATCTCATCAGCATCATCCAGCAGCTCTATGAGGACTCATCCTGCCAGATCATCCACAATGGAAAGCTGATAAGCCCCTTCCCAATGAAAACCAGAGTAAGGCAAGGCTGTATGCTGTCTACGACAATCTTCCTCATCATCATGGACTGGATCATGAGGAGAATGACTGAGGGTAGTGCCACTGGCGTCCAGTGGACCCTCACCAAACAGCTGGAGGACCTGGATTTTGCGGACGACGTCAGCCTTCTGTCCCACAAGCAACAGCATGCACAGTCCAAGCTCACCCGTCTCGCTGAGGAGGCAGGAAAGACCGGCCTGAAGATCAACACCAGAAAGACGGAGGTGATGCGGCTGAACAACAAACAAGAGCGCCCACTGCAGCTGCAGGGAAAAGACATCAAGGAAACAGAGTGCTTCGTTTACCTTGGAAGCATAGTAAGCAGAGACGACGGCGCAGACGAAGACGTTAGGAGCCGGATAAACAAAGCAAGGCTCGCGTTCAACACCCTGCGACCCATCTGGAACTCCAAAGCCTTATCCCTGTGCAGCAAGATCCGCATCTTCAACAGAAATGTAAAAGCAGTCCTCCTGTATGGGTCCGAGACATGGCGAGTTACGAACACCATCACCAACAAGATACAGACGTTCATCAACAAGTGGCTGCGACATATCCTAAACATCAGGTGGACAGAGAAGATCTCAAACACAGAGCTATGGAAAAGGACCAACCAGAATCCAGTCAAACAAGACATCAGGAAAAAAAATGGGACTGGATCGGACACACACTGCGAAAACCAGTTGACAACGTTACAAGGCAGGCCTTGGACTGGAACCCACAAAGGAAAAGAAAAGCTGGGAGGCCAAAACAGACGTGGAGGAGATCGGTCGGGAGTGAAGTGAAGGCCGCCGGAATTGCGTGGACCCAGCTGAGGAGAGCAGCCCAGAACAGAGTCCGTTGGCGAGGTGTTGTTGCGGCCCTATGCTCCACTGGGAGTCTACAGGATTAAGTCAAGTAATTATTTTTAAGAATTCGAAATTTCAGTAATCCAGTTTCTAATTATATTATGACTAAACATTATGTAATTTTACGAAACAACTCTTCTTTAATGCTCTCTAATTATTAGCGCATGGTTTATACAGTTTTTATCGCAAGTATGTTAATTATCATCAATTACATCAATCTAACACGTGAAATAATAATAGCTTCGATATACAGACTCTGCACTGAGTGGTCACAAGTAAATAAACACCTAATTTTTCGTCATTTAACTGATTTATGCTCACTAATTTGTGTTCACAGAGTACTATATAAATGAAAATGGTCCACACACTAATTGTCTTGTGCTACAACATGCCTAGAACTCAAGGTTCTCTCGAATTGTCAGATTTTGTTAGAGGAAAGATAATTGGTCAAGCAGATAGTGGAATAAGTCAGCGGCAAATTTCACAGAATTTGGGAATCTCGCTTTCGACAGTCAACAGAACATCGTGTAGTTCAGGAAACACGGCAAGGAAACAACTGAGCAGCGTCCGGGTCGTCCTGTTCCATCGGAGAGGACAAAAAGGGCTGTCTAGAGGAGCATCGAAATGGATCCCAGATTAACGACTGCAGAAGTGGCCAAAGTTGGTG